CTCGGATATACAAGCCAAGGAAAGCGCAAGGAGGATAAAAACCTGTGAGAGGTACATCGAGCTTCTCGAAACATCACTGACAAAGCTAACGAAGGCCTTTGATGAAGCTCCAGAGACCACAGAAGAGGAGGAAGATCACTTGGACAAGTATATAGAAAAAACCCAGGCAACGATAATGAAGCTGCACGATCATAGGACACAGCTAGAAGAGACCCTAGAAGACATCGGGATAGAGGCAGATGACCGGTCAAGCCCATATGCAGTCAGTAGACTCCCGGTAATCCCAATCCCTACATTCACAGGAAGAAAATGGGAATGGGATAACTTCTGGGCCTTGTACAAAGCTAACGTCCATGATCAAAACTTATCACAGCTTCAAAAGTTTAATTATTTGCTGGCCTCCCTGAGTGGGGAGGCGAAACAATCAGTTTCACGGTTCTTCGTGTCAGCAAATAATTACGAGAAGGCCATCCAACACCTCATCAAGAGGTATGGCAATAAGGACGGCATTGTTCTAGAGTTGAATAGAAGCCTCCACAACTGTGTAACAAGGGGACCCAGTACGACAGAACAGCGACGGTTATGGGATGAACTGTCAACGATAGCCGCACAACTAGAAGAACATGGTCAACGTCTTGATAATCAAATAACGATCCAGATCTTTCTTGAAAAGTTTGATTTGCGCATAAGGAAAGCGGCTGTAGAAAGAAGACTGAGATACCAAGAAGAGCACCAGTCCGAGTGGACCTTAAACCAATGGCTTGATGCCGTCAACATCATCATTTCACAGGAAGAGCAACTGAACGATATACTCTCAGTAAATAGACACCCATGGAATTGTCCTTCAAGATGGAACGATAGATGGGAATTAGTTTGCGAATGCTGTGGAAAAAGCGGTCACAGATGGACATTCTGCCCAGCCATTCCCACACCAGCACAGAAGAAAACGTTTCTTCTTAATTCCAGCAGGTGCCTAAACTGCGGAACTACTGACCACAGAGTAGCGTCATGCTCGAGCGGTAACTGCAGAAAATGTCATAGAAGGCACCACACTGCAATATGCACGGAAAGCACGCCACAAGATTCAAAGAGTGGCGACAAATCAAATCAGCATGCAGTGACCCGGTCTACGAAGAAAGAAATTGCACAGGACACTTCTCCCATTGATGAAGGAGCTTCGAGAACCTTTGAACCAGAAACTGCTACAACTCTACTGTTAAGGCAAAGACATACTGCTGCCCCTTTGCATCCTGAAGGAACAACGATGCACGAATTGCGGAACTATGACTCTAGGGAAGCTCGAGACTTGATGCAAATGATGAATCAGCATTTCGAGACCCTTGTGCGGGAAATGGAGAACGGATTCAAAGCCATCCGAGAAGAAATCAACAGGCACCATGATAAGACACAAGGTGTAAACGCTCACAGGGAGCATCCAACCTTAGCAAGGGACTATGCAGCCAAGGGACAAAGTGAAGAGAGGACATGTCAAGAATCGCAGACTTCGGGGAATATCCCTTACGACTTCGCAAAGAAGGTCAAACACAGTAACCAGCCTGCAAAAGGAAAGGAGCAGTAAAGAACTACGAAGAAACATCGCACTGGCATCCGAGGAAACACAGAAACAGCTCAAACCGAGTTCTTTGCATGGTCAGAGAATACAAACATTGGCGCGAAGCAAGGAGAAGGAGACTCAGAAGTGGGTCAAAAGGAAAAAACCGAAACCAGCTTTACGCGTTTTCGCTGGACACGCCGGAGCATACGAACTCCATTCGTATCAATTTACGCGCCCTTCGAGACACGGAGCAAAGCACAGCAACGCGAGAGAGAGCACTTCCGACGAGAAATACGGACAGGGTCAGAGGCAAGCCCATACACGTCCCAAAAATAGGACAGTGGATACAATTCGGAAACTTGCACGACGAGAAGAGTCACAGAGTGCTGGTGAAAAAGCAATAACAGTTTTGGAGCGTGAGCAAAAACTTGGAGAAACTACAGAAAACATTGGTACACAGCACACAGTTCGAAAGCGATGTAGCACGGCGAAAAGGATGGTGTCAGACTACTCCTTGCGCACCGTGGCAGGGTGCGTTTTACGAGAGAATTACTCGCTGCATCAGGGAAACGCTATACTACGCGCTCGGAGTGCTAGCCATGGCCTTCTATGGTCCCCAAGATGACGCTCACACAAATGGAAGGTGTCGAAACCTTGACGGTGCCCACGGGAGCGGTACCAATTACAAACGCAGGGAAAAGGAGGACCGAAAAATTCACCAAGATCAACGATTCTCCACGGAAGCCGGAGATATTTGCAGTGGTAACTCCTAATACACGTGGATTGCGACGAACGCTGAATGGAGCTGAGCCACTGGAAATGAGCAATGGACAATATCTCACAGTTCAAGAGCCAGATGGCAAAACGACTCGTTGTGACGCCAACCAAAAAAAGAATCAACCAAAAGGAAGCACAGTTACGAGCAGCGACACGGTAGCCAAAGGGCACAATGGCTACCACGACTACTTCGTCATCAACGGTGATGCTCCACTCGTCTCCTGAGGTCGGAGTATACGAACTTGCGTTCGTATCGTTCTTTGGATCCTGAGGAATGCGCGATGGCAAACTTTGACCAACGCTCGAACGTTTCACAGATTTGTTTTCTTTGATGTTCTTATCAGTGAATTTCCCATGCTTACTTTGAGTGTGTTTATATCCGTTTGCATATATAAGTAGTTAGTATTGTGTTGTGAACATATTCACGGTTGTATGTTGTCTTTCCTTCCTATCATTGTACTTTACATATTGTTTCCTTTATCTAAGTCATCACTTCACGGCACTCCGCAGTACTTTTCAGTAAAATTGCTTGCTGTCAACTCAACTTTGCCTTCTAAATCAGTCTCAGTGCTACGCCTAATCATTCCCTTTGCTCAAACGAAAACAAATCGATTGTGGTGGCCATCGTGTATGTATTTTATCTCAATCCATCCAATCTTTGCACAATTTCTCTCACATTCTTCAATCCTCAGGGTCGCGCGTTTTCTGATTACTAGTTCAGTATTTTTACCATACGATGGTGTGATACTCAACCATCGCATCGCATAGACTGTGCACTTTGTATCCAACGGTTCTCTGTCCGGTTCTCTGTTATGTTGCCCAAACCATGACGGTCACCTCTTGTTGTGAACCTATACGATCCCGATTTGTTATGTTATATTGTACTTCACAATATCGCTGTTCAAAAGTTTAAGGACAATTTCATATATAAAGCTAAATGTCTGTTTGTTTGTCTGTATAGGTTGATGCATGACGAAGGCGCAATACCTTTGGGCGCGAATGCGGCTTTATTAGCCGCAGAGCGTATGAGGCGCAGAATTTACAACAGTAAAGGTTCGCGCGCGCCGCGTTCGCGCCCGCTCAATTAATACTGCTTCTGCGCCTTCGTCATGCCTTCGCCTTAATGTTTGTATATATGTATTTACGTATGTGCGGAATAGAAATTTTTATTTCTGAATCGGTTTGGACCAAACTTGGCAGACATATACTCCGCGGGGGGGGGGGAAGGGGGGAGCATGTCATAGGCTACTTTTCGTTATCGATCGGTATCGATTTTATCGGTTTTATCGATTTTTTGCAGAGTTCAAGCTGCGGTTGGCACAGGGGTAAGCGAGCATGCTGATTATTAACACAGCGGGAATAGGGAATTGGCATGTAGACGTAGGCACAGGAAAAAGTTGTTCAGGTTTGGGGATGGGACCTTTATCATAGTTTTTTGGCAGGGCCGAGCGGAGCCGGATAAGCAAGCTAGTAATTCCTAAATATTTGCTGAAAGTCACAATTGAAACGGATAAAAACTTCGGAAATATGTATTACAAAAGTCGGATCTGATCAGATCAGATCTAGCCCCAAACCTTAGACCGTTTTTCTTGTAAGTAGCTCATCTGTTGTATAATAGTTGACACAATCTTGCTTCCTCTAAAATTAAGCTTTATCGGGGACAAGCCAGCTAGCTTACCGGGGGTTCGCTGGCGCCCAAAAAACCGGGTCACCAGAATTTTAGAGTAAGTAAGATCCAGATTCTTTCTTTTAGATTATTTCCCACATTTCGCAGCTTTCTGCGAAGTAGTGTGCACGTCTTAAGGGCTCTTTAGCTTGTTTATACATATTCCTATTTTATGTAGCTAGCTTGGATGAATGGTTGGTTTTTCTAGTTTGTTCTGAATTCTTTGTTGTTTTCTTTAGTATAGGTGCACCATGAGTGTATTAAGAACAAATAAATAAAAAAAGTGGTTCCCGCCAATCTATTTCATACTTAATCGTAACTGTGGCGCCAGTGAGTCAAATAGAGAACAAAATTATGAGGAAATATCATGGGAAAACTATTTTCTAAAAGATGATTAGAAAAGCGTTATCTAGATAGTAGTGTAGCTTGAGAATTCTTGGAAATTTTTTCTATAGAAAACGAAGTCAAAAATGATTATTTGGCTTCTCTTTCTTTTGTTAGTTTAGTTTTCCCATGATATTTCTTTCTTTTGATCGTCCAGCCATTAAAAGAAAGCTGTACATCATCGGACTCGCCTTAAAGGCAGTGTCCAGGCTAAACCTAACCCCCTTCGATTAGTGTCGATCCTGAATGTAGGCCCCAGAAAAGGGGCATCTGCGTTGGTCCGGTCTTCTAACGTTGTCTCTGAATGGAGATAAGGAGCATCGAAGTCCCTGGCTGGGCGGAGTGTGATATCAGACTCCGCCCAGCCAGTGACTGCCTCCCGACACGTATTGACATGTAATTGAGCAGAAGCTGTACACTGCTGCAACTGCACCCATGGAGTTGCAGCTCCTCCCGCTGGCATGCCGACGGGGACGAGCGATCTGAAATTCGTCCGCGCCCTCAAGACAGGGTCTCAATGAATTGGGTTTTATGTGAATTTTAGAGACTTTGAAGTTCATAACTGTAACCAGGGCCACGGAAAGGCCCCAGAATGACGAAAACATGGGAGGCCAAATTCTGAGTCTACGCTGCTTTTAAAAACGCTGATTTCAAATATACAGGGTGTCCCAAAATAATGTGCACACTGTTTGATTGTAAATAACTCTCTTGTAATGAAGTATACGATCGGTGAGTCAGCTGTGTGTGCGGGTGTGTACTGTGATTGATTGCTGCCACGCGGGACTTACGCACAGCGAGTGCACCTCAAACTTGGGTAATTAAACTTTATTACAAAAATACGACTAACAACTACAAAACGCTACGATAGTACATAAAGGGTATATGTTCAATATATGTTATCCGAGGCTATGAGTTACTGTGAGGGATTCTGTGAGGGGACTGTGAGTTACTGTGAGAGATCCGTGAAGTGATGACTTAGATAAAGGAAACAATAATGTAAAGTACAATGATAGGAAGGAAAGACAACATACAACCGTGAATATGTTCACAACACAATACTAACTACTTATATATGCAAACGGATATAAACACACTCAAAGTAAGCATGGGAAATTCACTGATAAGAACATCAAAGAAAACAAATCTGTGAAACGTTCGAGCGTTGGTCAAAGTTTGCCATCGCGCATTCCTCAGGATCCAAAGAACGATACGAACGCAAGTTCGTATACTCCGACCTCAGGAGACGAGTGGAGCATCACCGTTGATGACGAAGTAGTCGTGGTAGCCATTGTGCCCTTTGGCTACCGTGTCGCTGCTCGTAACTGTGCTTCCTTTTGGTTGATTCTTTTTTTGGTTGGCGTCACAACGAGTCGTTTTGCCATCTGGCTCTTGAACTGTGAGATATTGTCCATTGCTCATTTCCAGTGGCTCAGCTCCATTCAGCGTTCGTCGCAATCCACGTGTATTAGGAGTTACCACTGCAAATATCTCCGGCTTCCGTGGAGAATCGTTGATCTTGGTGAATTTTTCGGTCCTCCTTTTCCCTGCGTTTGTAATTGGTACCGCTCCCGTGGGCACCGTCAAGGTTTCGACACCTTCCATTTGTGTGAGCGTCATCTTGGGACCATAGAAGGCCATGGCTAGCACTCCGAGCGCGTAGTATAGCGTTTCCCTGATGCAGCGAGTAATTCTCTCGTAAAACGCACCCTGCCACGGTGCGCAAGGAGTAGTCTGACACCATCCTTTTCGCCGTGCTACATCGCTTTCGAACTGTGTGCTGTGTACCATGTTTTCTGTAGTTTCTCCAAGTTTTTGCTCACGCTCCAAAACTGTTATTGCTTTTTCACCAGCACTCTGTGACTCTTCTCGTCGTGCAAGTTTCCGAATTGTATCCACTGTCCTATTTTTGGGACGTGTATGGGCTTGCCTCTGACCCTGTCCGTATTTCTCGTCGGAAGTGCTCTCTCTCGCGTTGCTGTGCTTTGCTCCGTGTCTCGAAGGGCGCGTAAATTGATACGAATGGAGTTCGTATGCTCCGGCGTGTCCAGCGAAAACGCGTAAAGCTGGTTTCGGTTTTTTCCTTTTGACCCACTTCTGAGTCTCCTTCTCCTTGCTTCGCGCCAATGTTTGTATTCTCTGACCATGCAAAGAACTCGGTTTGAGCTGTTTCTGTGTTTCCTCGGATGCCAGTGCGATGTTTCTTCGTAGTTCTTTACTGCTCCTTTCCTTTTGCAGGCTGGTTACTGTGTTTGACCTTCTTTGCGAAGTCGTAAGGGATATTCCCCGAAGTCTGCGATTCTTGACATGTCCTCTCTTCACTTTGTCCCTTGGCTGCATAGTCCTTGCTAAGGTTGGATGCTCCCTGTGAGCGTTTACACCTTGTGTCTTATCATGGTGCCTGTTGATTTCTTCTCGGATGGCTTTGAATCCGTTCTCCATTTCCCGCACAAGGGTCTCGAAATGCTGATTCATCATTTGCATCAAGTCTCGAGCTTCCCTAGAGTCATAGTTCCGCAATTCGTGCATCGTTGTTCCTTCAGGATGCAAAGGGGCAGCAGTATGTCTTTGCCTTAACAGTAGAGTTGTAGCAGTTTCTGGTTCAAAGGTTCTCGAAGCTCCTTCATCAATGGGAGAAGTGTCCTGTGCAATTTCTTTCTTCGTAGACCGGGTCACTGCATGCTGATTTGATTTGTCGCCACTCTTTGAATCTTGTGGCGTGCTTTCCGTGCATATTGCAGTGTGGTGCCTTCTATGACATTTTCTGCAGTTACCGCTCGAGCATGACGCTACTCTGTGGTCAGTAGTTCCGCAGTTTAGGCACCTGCTGGAATTAAGAAGAAACGTTTTCTTCTGTGCTGGTGTGGGAATGGCTGGGCAGAATGTCCATCTGTGACCGCTTTTTCCACAGCATTCGCAAACTAATTCCCATCTATCGTTCCATCTTGAAGGACAATTCCATGGGTGTCTATTTACTGAGAGTATATCGTTCAGTTGCTCTTCCTGTGAAATGATGATGTTGACGGCATCAAGCCATTGGTTTAAGGTCCACTCGGACTGGTGCTCTTCTTGGTATCTCAGTCTTCTTTCTACAGCCGCTTTCCTTATGCGCAAATCAAACTTTTCAAGAAAGATCTGGATCGTTATTTGATTATCAAGACGTTGACCATGTTCTTCTAGTTGTGCGGCTATCGTTGACAGTTCATCCCATAACCGTCGCTGTTCTGTCGTACTGGGTCCCCTTGTTACACAGTTGTGGAGGCTTCTATTCAACTCTAGAACAATGCCGTCCTTATTGCCATACCTCTTGATGAGGTGTTGGATGGCCTTCTCGTAATTATTTGCTGACACGAAGAACCGTGAAACTGATTGTTTCGCCTCCCCACTCAGGGAGGCCAGCAAATAATTAAACTTTTGAAGCTGTGATAAGTTTTGATCATGGACGTTAGCTTTGTACAAGGCCCAGAAGTTATCCCATTCCCATTTTCTTCCTGTGAATGTAGGGATTGGGATTACCGGGAGTCTACTGACTGCATATGGGCTTGACCGGTCATCTGCCTCTATCCCGATGTCTTCTAGGGTCTCTTCTAGCTGTGTCCTATGATCGTGCAGCTTCATTATCGTTGCCTGGGTTTTTTCTATATACTTGTCCAAGTGATCTTCCTCCTCTTCTGTGGTCTCTGGAGCTTCATCAAAGGCCTTCGTTAGCTTTGTCAGTGATGTTTCGAGAAGCTCGATGTACCTCTCACAGGTTTTTATCCTCCTTGCGCTTTCCTTGGCTTGTATATCCGTGAGCGCTTGCATGGAGTCCTGCAGCCAATTCATCGCTGCATCATTTCTTTTCGCGACGAGTCCCTTGAGGCATCTTACTGTGCTGGCCATGGTTAGTTGAGTTAGTTCCGTGAGATACTCTGATTCGTTGTGCGGCAACTGTGACTCTTACTGTGAGGGACCTGTGAGGTGACTGGGACTCGCTGTGCAATAGCTGTGCCAAACCCTGTGAGGTGCCGTGAGTAACGTGCAAATTGTTAGTCGGAAGCGTTACTCGTATGCAATAAATCGTACCTCCGTTTGGCCGATGCACCACTTATACGGTCGGTGAGTCAGCTGTGTGTGCGGTGAGTGTACTGTGATTGATTGCTGCCACGCGGGACTTACGCACAGCGAGTGCACCTCAAACTTGGGTAATTAAACTTTATTACAAAAATACGACTAACAACTACAAAACGCTACGATAGTACATAAAGGGTATAGGTTCAATATATGTTATCCGAGGCTATGAGTTACTGTGAGGGATTCTGTGAGGGGACTGTGAGTTACTGTGAGAGATCCGTGAAGTGATGACTTAGATAAAGGAAACAATAATGTAAAGTACAATGATAGGAAGAAAAGACAACATACAACCGTGAATATGTTCACAACACAATACTAACTACTTATATATGCAAACGGATATAAACACACTCAAAGTAAGCATGGGAAATTCACTGATAAGAACATCAAAGAAAACAAATCTGTGAAACGTTCGAGCCTTGGTCAAAGTTTGCCATCGCGCATTCCTCAGAATCCAAAGAACGATACGAACGCAAGTTCGTATATGAAGTGTTTCGAGAAGCTTTGAGTACCATTTTGTAGAGCGACGTTCAACTTAGATTTACAGTATAGAGCGAATCGCCGATCGCTCACTCTTACTGTAGGATTACGGTAGAAACTTTGAAGAGGGTTTTGAACCATGGAAGGCCATATTTTGTTCCAAAAATGAATCAAAATGACCTGAAAACTCTCACATTGGGCTAATTAGAGTTGATGATTCTAAATGTGAAGTTTGCAACTTTTCGTAATGCTTCATTAAAAAAATATGCGAGGTAAGCAATAGCAGCCATTTTTTCAATGTTCCTAAAAAGTACGGTTACACCGTTTAGAAAGCTTCGCAACCTTGTAAAGAGTTGGGTATTGAACTCAGCGTCCGTGAGAACCCTATTACATAAGTTTCCACATTTTTTTGAAATTTTCTGAAACGGCCGTTTTTTTCACAGCGACACCATAAGTTTGAAGTTTCTACAGTAATCCTACAGTAAGAATGAGCGATACATTAAATCTAAGTTGAACCTCGCTCTACAAAACAGTGCCTAAAGCTTCTCGAAATACTTCATTACAAGAGAGTTATTTACAATCAAACAGTGTGCACATTTTTTGGGACACCCTGTATGTCCTTTATCTGCCAAGCGACTGGAAGGAGGAGTTACGAGCGTTCAAATATGAGAAATTATTTGAGTTCTAACGAATGTGGTTCGCTGAAAAGCTGCCTGATGACGCGGATTTACAGTGACTATGGTTATTTCAGTTACAAGGAAGAAGTACATTTACCAAAACTTAAATAAGTGTTTTTGAAATGTATTTCGTGGAATATAAGCCACAAAATTTATGACAAATCGCGCATTCAAACGCTCTAACTCCTGTCAGATAGTCGCTTCGGCAGATAAAAAACATATATTTGAGGTCACCGTTTCAAGGCGAGTCCGACGATATATAGCTTGTCTGGTATGGCTGGGTTAACTTCTGATCACTCCCTGCTAAGCTGGACAAGTGCTCAACGCCGTGCTATTGAGTGCATGGGTCCCGACGCATTCGTGATGACTGTTCGGCGCAACAATCACTACACACTTTTCGACGAGCATTGCTCACTTGGCGAAATCGTCGCGACTTTGCCGAATCGGCGCGATGTCGTACCGCAGTCGCCGCGTCGCTCGCCTGAGCTGCGTTTTATCAGGTATCCTATTGTTGCGGACGCGTTATGACTTCTTCTTCTTTCAGGTCAGCTGTAGAGAGCTGTAGAGAATCCACTCAATCTTTTGCGTTTGTGAGTCATCTGATCACAAGTGCACATGATAGCTTTCTACAACAACTCTTAATGGCGCTCTGTTTTGAAAATGGTTTTCTTGGCCTTCAAAATCTGTTGCTCATTACCGCTTGCGGAAAGGTTAAGGCTTAAAGTTCTCATTTTCTCCCAAGCTAATAATAAGCGATGTTTGCATTACAAAGTAATTCCTTAAACCTTCAGTTATAGAAATTTGCAGAACAACCTTCTTCATTTTTTGCGCTCTCAAGAACGATTTTGTGCACAAAACTTATACAACACCGAATTACTGTTTACTTTCGAGCAGCCGTATTGTTGGAACTTGAAAGAAGTGCAGAAACAAAATCTACACATCTTGAAACTCGTCATTGTTCGCGTTATCCGCCACCGTAGCATATCTCAGAAAATGTGTCACATGTCACAAAATGGCGAAAATTTTGCTGAAATTTCTTATAATTGGGCAATTATGTAGATTAAGACGATGTGGGTCTCAGTTAGTTGGCTTTCCGCATCATATGTGCAAAAGGATTATTGAATGTACGATATGTACGACCTGGCAAGCGTTGTGCAGTTGCACCACATTACGTTAGAGGCACCTATGAACACGGACAAGCGAGGAGACTTAATCGTCGCTTATGGCCGCTTTTCGGAAGCATCGAGGCCTTTAAAAATCGCGCGACTTTGTCGCTCGAGGTAGCCCAAGGCCTTAAGCTTTTCCAGTACCTGGAGATAGTTGCATGTGGAGACAGTTGCATTATTGTCTTGGTCAGAAAGTTTTCGTCGCCAAAATGGCCACAGTAAGTGTTCCTCTCTGTTCAAATTCTCTACTGCATCAGTTAGAAGGAACTCCGCCTTTGCTTGCAAGTTCCGCGTCATGCTTTGGACAAGCATACACACAGTTACACGCACATACGTGCGTGGAACATACACACATATCTATATACATACACACATACACACACCTAATTCTTGGAGAATAATCGCAAGTCAAAATGTATAAAATAAGAATTTTTCTCTTCAAAGAGCGAAAGCACTTATGATTGAAACAGAAAGTGAAAAGAGCTTTAAAATAACTTCCGGTATTGTTCACAATGAGAAGAGTTTGGGTAGCTGTTGCTTCAAAATGCTTTTATAACTTTCACCAAGTGATGCAACTGGTATACATAGACTCCATCCAGCAATTTCGATCAATCAATCAGAAGAAGCGGGAAAACTGATAGAATGAACTGATAGCAATGATAGTAACATTACACAACTTCATAAAGAAAACTCTTTATTTCTTCATTGAAATGACAAAATTTGAGTTCATCATATGAACTTCCCGCTTTTTTCAAATTCGGGCATTTGGTCAACAAATACACAAACATTATAATGGCGACATCTCCACGTAACGAATGTAGCGCCATCAGCATGGATCTTTTAGATCAACTCCTCTTTGAGTGTGTCATCATAGCCAGATTTGAAATGATCTTCGAAATTAGGTTGACGGTAATCATTTCAAATCACTGACTAAGACACCCGGTGGTGTATAGGTTTCACAGGTGACAACAGTAACATGAGGCCACTTAGAAGCAGGGGAGTCAGCGGCATACGTCGGCACCGATTCTCCAAGCTTAACAGCAGATATGTTTTTCGATGATACCCTACTTGGTAGGAGCTATGCAAACATGCATCTAGAGCTATCGGTAAACCTTGCGGTTAGAATCAATGCCTAAATTCAGCAAAGTACATAGGCGCGGCAAAAGAAGAAATTAAGAGTAAGTGCAGATAAACGATTAACAAATACCCTAATAAAATTCTAGGAACAAATGGACTAGAGAACATACAGTAATATCACAACGATGACAGACAGCGTCAAACTTAAGTCATACAAATCAGTGTGAAATCCATTTGAATAAGCCATAAAAGAATATAACAGATACAAAAAACGAGCAAAAACATAACGCAAAGCACGCATAATTAAAAAGTGGATAGAATGCATAGGCGGCTAGGACAATGATTTTGCAGATTTATACATTCAGCGTCTTACTTCGTGCCACTGGGAGAGTTTGATGCTGACTGCTGTGATGCGAGCATTGAGCTCGCCCAACGCTCCAGATACGTGCCTTTCTCTTGCACCTTAAATAGTAACTTCGACAAGTTGTATCAACATTACCAGCCAATCAAAATCAACTGACTCATTGTGCTACTATAAATGGTAAAATGTTCCCATTTTATATGCTAAGCTGAATGTCTGTTTGTTTATCTCCCTGTATTACGCAACAGCTAGCTTACCCGGCTCCGCCCGGCCCTAAAACACTGTTGTAAAGGTTCCATCTCTACCTGTACAGCCTTTCCCCGTGCCCACTTCTACACTTCATCTCCCGTTCCCGTTTTGTTTTCGAAATCAGCATGCCCACTTACCCCCCTGTGCCAACTTCCAGACCTGTAGCTCAAACTTTGCAAAAAATCGATAAAATCGATAAAAGTAATAGGTAATACCAAAAACTAATATTGTATTCGTAATGCATGCTTGATTACTCCGTGTGCCAACCCAAAGCCTCGCAGGTGAACTCTGCAAAAAATTGATAAAATCGATAAACGTAATCGATAATTCTGAAATATAATATTGTATTCGGAATCGCCATGCTCACTTGCCCCCTCCCCCGTGCCAACCTCCAAACCGTAGGTGAACTCTGCAAAAGAACTCGACAAAAATCGATAAAATCGATGACGATCGATAACGAAAAGTAGCCTATGACACGCTCCCTGCCCCGAAGTATATGTGTGCCAAGTTTGGTCCAAATCGGTTCAGAAATAAAAATTCTATTTCACATACGTACGCACAGACAGACATACACACAGGCAGACATTCAGCTTTATATATAAGATGTATGTTTGTACGATTTCCCGCAAACTTTGAGTCAAATGGCTGGGAGCTGACACAGGGCTAAGCTAGCATGCCTGATTACGAACATGAGCTTTCAGGGTATTCGATTACCTTCATCGAATTGATTAATCTTTCGCGAACTTTGAATTACAGCGCTGGATATTGGCGCAGGGGGAGGGGTAGCTAATGGGCCAGGAGTTATCAGAGGGGAGGGGAGGGGGGGGTCTGAACATGATAATAACGAAAGAATAATCGATATGGAAAACCCCTGCATTAATTGGTTTCAACAGTTTGGCATCTTATGGGGTAGGTGTTGATTATAAATACACACAAAAGAATTGGCATCTGAAAGGACAGAGACGGGGAATGTTGTTGGCAAGGAATAATGATCTTTATCGTTAGTTTTGGCGGCTGAGCAGAGCCGAATATGTTTATAAAAGATGTAAAACAGTAGCGAACTTGCAAAATTTTTTGCTTCAACTCAAGCGATCCCTTTTGCAACATGCAAGATATGTAGTATGTACCGTGACTTTGCGCATTCACACAGAATGGACTCTGCAGCGAAAAGAGGGAAAATGTCCTTTTTGCCCGCCAGTCTATTACAATCCAAGAGAAATTACTCCTCTGAATTTGTGTTCGCGTATAGCAAAAATTCTGTACATTTGCGGGGCTAAAGTAGACGATCTCGAAGTCAAACTCTTCAAAAGTTGAATTTCTCCTTTCTTATTGCACAATCTGACCAGAATAGAAAATCGTGAAAGTTCAACTAGGCAATTATCGTAAATAAAAAATTGTAAAAAATTGATGGACATTGGTAAATATTACAAGTTTCAATAGAAGACTCATGTTCTTTTCTACGAACAAAACGTTATAGCTGACCAAAAGCCGTGAGTAAATCAAAGGGGCAAGTGCAGTGCATTGATATAAGTCTGAATTAATACCCGAACTGCCGGTTTATGCTCTAGCTACGAATGAGGCATAGAAATGTTTCTAATTCTTATCTAGTACTAGGTAAATAGCAGTGGCGTACCGAGGGGGGGGGGCGGGGGGGGGGCGCGCGCCCCCCCCCCCCCGAGAACGGGTCGCGAAATTTTTGAAAGTTACTTACATGAGTTATAAAAATGTGCAAATGACTTGTTTATTTTTGTAAACAATTAAAATAATTTTTAAAATTTTTTAAAAATTCAAATTAGCCTTATAAAAAAAATTTTTTCGGGGGCGTGGCTGAGGCCACGCCCCCTTTTTCCAGATTTTAGGGGTTGGGGGCCCGCAAAATTGTTAGGAAGCCCCCCTAAAAAATTTTCGGAGTGCGTGGCTAACGCCACGCACCTTCATTTGAAAAAAATTTTTGCCGCGCCCCCCCCGAGCCGAAATCCTGGGTACGCCACTGGTAAATAGTATAGTGCTTTGTAACACCCACACTTTCAGACTTCTTCCTCTTCTCTTCTGACTGCTTTGCTGTTGAAAAGACATCAGCTTCTGCGTCATTATCCTCACCAGGACATGGGCTAAATCCCATAAGATCAGAAACTTTTTTAGCAAAGTTGTCAGTTTTAAGAAAGTCGTCATATTTGAGGTGATACCTTTGTGTAGGACTGCTCTGTGGCGAATGCGTAACCACGTCAAATCCACGCTTACGACTAGCCTTTGCATAATGATATCCGGCATCTTTGACTACCTAAGACGACCGATGCATTCTTTGCAAAATGAAAGTTTTGTCTCTAACCTGCCGTGCCAATGGAAAGAGTTCATCACGTCTTGTAAGAAGTGAAGGCATGATCAAACATAATTGAGCAGCAGCTTCATTCACAGATACCTCGTGAAACGAAAGACCCTGGAGAAAACAGTTACGGCGAACTAAAGAAATGAAGAAATTTTCTAAGTTAATTTATTTCGTATAAACCGTTGTTCCACGGATCTCCCTCATAGAGGGATCACAGCCGGTTAGTCGCGAGGCTACGTGGGGCGTCCCCAGGTGGCGGATAGGGGGATAATCGCCGACCAAAAGCGACCCCGCGCCTGCTCTGATAAGCAAGCGGAGCCGGGGGACGGACTCCCTGCCTCCACTAAAAGCTTGCGCACTAATTTTCCGGGTAGGTGTGTGGGGAGGCGAGTTCGGAGTCGCCTCCAACAAATAAGCTCCGATCGTCCCTCGCGGGGGTTTTGAGCCCAACAAGCTATCCCTGCGAGTAAATTCTTGTTCGACACAGTGATAATATGGAAAGCTCCTTTAATCTTGGAAGAGCCACTGGTAAGGCAGCGCCAGTGGGGACAAGGTTTGAAAGGCGATCTAGGCTGCCGAAAACGAGACGGACTATGATGACGATCTGTACTTACAACGCGAGGACGCTGGCATCGGACGCATCTATCGAAGATCTCATGATGCAAGCAAGGAAGATTAAGTACGACGTCATCGGACTGACCGAGACAAGGAGGCACCACCCGCTGAACGCCACATTTGAGACTGGAGAAGAACTGTTTCTAGGAACATGCGACAGTCAAGGAGTAGGTGGAGTGGGAGTCCTTGTCAACACGAGTTTGGCCATGAACATCGATTCGTTCGAACAACTTACAACTCGAATCGGACGTTTGCAAATATCAGGATGTGGATCAATCCGTGCCTTGACCGTCTTCATTGCGTACGCCCCAACATCCAGCTACGACGAGGACGAACTCGAGGAATTTTATATGGACTTGGAGAAGTTCTACAGAGAAGATCCTACCTTCTACAAGATCATCGTCGGTGATTTCAACGCGAAGATCGGAACGACTGAGGAACTTCACATCGGAACCCATGGTTTGCAGTGGAACGAACAAGGGGAGAGACTGTCCGAGTTTATCATGACGACGAGGACTATCCATGGAAACTCACAGTTCCAAAAGCCCTCTTCCCTACGCTGTACCTGGGATTCGCCCGGTGGAGAGTACCATAACGAGATTGACCACATCATCGTCAACAGAAGGTACTGCCTGACGGACGTCGCTGTTGTTCCGAAGTTCTACGCGGGATCAGACCATCGTCTCCTGCTCGCCAAATTCTACTTTCCGCGGAATGGAGAGAGAGCCGTCAAGTTCAGGAAACATCGTCCCATGAAAACCACCAACTGGGATCTGTTTTCTTCGATATCCGGCTCATGGCGAGATACCATGATGGACAACATCCACGAAGAATACGAACGGTTCGTACAACATCTCCACGGTTGTGCCAAGGAAGCTTAGAGTCTAAGAAGTACGAGAAGGCGTCTCACCACGGGGACTTTGGAGCTGATACGCCAACGTGGACGCGCACGAGCCACGGGCACCTACCGACTGACGTCCGAGCTTGCGAAGCGATGCAGAGAAGCGATAAAAGAAGACCTTAAGGAGAGAAGAGTAGCAGTGATGGTTGACGCCGCGGAGGCTGGAAGAAGTATACGCAACGCCCGCCGAAGCTTCGTCAACTTCAAGACAAAGATGACCGCACTTCGTCGTCCTGACGGAACCATAACTGCTTCCCGAAGATCAATGGAGAATGTCATCCACGACTTCTACTCGGATCTTTTTGCGAGCCACGTCCACCTTCCACCATGCCATCTCAAGGAGGACGAGTATGTCGCACCGTCTGTTCTTCCTTCCGAGATTCGTCATGCTATCATGTCGATGAAAAAGCGTACAGCACCCGGGCCCGACAGGATTAAGCCAGAACATCTGAAGAATCTTTCGCCAGTTCTCATCAAGACTTTGGCAAGGCTCTTCACGCGGTACCTGACGGAAGGCAGGGTTCCAAGGCAATGGAAGACCAGCAAAACCGTGTTGCTGTACAAGAAGGGAGATCCCTGCGACATCGGCAATTATCGCCCTATCTGCTTGTTGTCTGTAGTCTACAAACTCTTTACGCGAGTCATTCTCAACAGGATCGGAAGAGAGTTGGACGAAGGACAACCATGCGAGCAAGCTGGGTTTCGAAGAGGATTCAGCACCGATCGACCACATACACACGGTGTCAAGGCTCATTGAAGTGTCACGAGAGTATAAGATGCCGCTCTGTCTCACCTTCATCGACTTGAAGAAGGCCTTTGACTCGGTTGAGACTGAAGCCGTCATCGATGCCTTGAGCAATCAAGGTATTCCGACTCATTACATCAAGATAATTCGTGAGTTGTATAACGACTTCACAACCACCATAACACCATTCTACAAGGACATCATCATTGACGTGAAGAGAGGCGTGCGACAAGGCGATACTATATCGCCGGAACTATTCAGTGCCGCTCTGGAGAACGTCATGCGTAAGTTGGAATGGGACAACATGGGAGTGAAAGTCGACGGCCGGCAGCTACACCACCTTCGCTTTGCTGATGACATCGTATTGATAACACCAAGCATCACGCAGGCGGAACAAATGCTGGCCCAGTTCGACGAAGTGTGTGGAAAGATCGGTCTACGGCTGAATCTAACGAAGACGATGTTCATGAGGAACGGAAGAGTGCCTGATGCTCCTTTCATGCTCAACGGGACGAACATCACCGAATGCTCAAGCTACACCTACCTAGGTCGTGAACTCAATATGATGAACGATCTAGCTCCGGAACTGAGCAGAAGGAAACGTGCAGCATGGGGAGCATATAAGACAATTGAGGACGTAGTGAAGAAGACCAAGAACATCCGGCTCCGCGCCCACCTTTTCAACTCGACGGTTCTTCCTGCTTTGACGTACGCTTCAGAAACATGGACAATGAGAAAGCAGGATGAACACGCGGTTAGCGTCATCGAACGAGCTGTTGAGAGAGTGATGCTAGGAGTGAATCGACTCACGCAAGTGAGGCAAGGATTACGAAGTTCTATCCTAAGTCAACGATCGAAGATCAGGGACGCTGCCGCGTACGCCAAGCAGAACAAGATAAGATGGGCCGGGCACGTAATGCGTTTCGACGACAACCGGTGGACGAGAGCTGTAACAGATTGGATACCACTGGACGTCAAACGCGAACGAGGAAGACCGCCGGCGCGATGGTCAGATATGTTCACGAAGTTCTCTAATGAAGTCCTTCAGAGCGTTCCACGTGTTCCTGGTGCGATACGTAAACATTGGTCAACAATCGCCCGAGACAGGGACGAATGGAGGCATCACTGGAACCCGCTCGTGCAACACGATGATCAACGGGGATACAGGTGATACAGGTGAAACCGTTGTTCTTGCGCTACTATAATAATTTAGGAGAAGCAACTAACCTTGTCCGGTTTTCTCTTGGCATCAAAACGCCCATAAATTGCCGAATATTTGCGGTACTCGGCAAGACGATTAGGCGTGTCGGCAGAAGCAGAAAGAAGATCGAGCACCTCTCTGGAAGTATGATAAATGATTGACTCCAATTCCTACGTCGTTGATCAAACGTAAGCGAGAAAGATTCCACATGCTGAAACATTAAGTGGCTCTCGCGCAGTCATTTTGCAGAAAAACGAATTATCGCTTCGCTCTTTATTCGTTCTTGTGCTTTTAGCAGATGTACAAAGCTTCTCTTCACCAAACAAATTTTAAAGGATGTAATTTCCAACAAATTCATGCTCAGCATGACTTGTAACGAATATATATATATATCCAACCCACTTTGAAACTCGCTTTTTATTTTGTACAAGTTTTGGTGGAAGTCGAGGGATTTTTTGACATATCGCCATTGCGCAGCTGGAAAGGCGACGAATCTGCGCGTCGGACAGAACTGGCGAATCGCACAAAGCAGTACCTAAACAAAATTACAGTAATTCAGCTAATTATACTTACTCAAGCAAATCACATCAAAGGGAATGGTGCTTACTTGGATCATAATCTCCCAGGGACACGAAGTCTCCTCCTACTGAAACAGGGCTGGACGACCTGAAGATGCAGCAACGATGTGCAAATTCATGGTTTTAAAAAATTTGAAGCTTTTTGTGATTTTTGCTGCTGTGCTTGAAAATATATGTACTAGGTTGTTAAGTTCTGTCCGACTTTTAGTTGCCTTGCGTTCAAAGCAGCTATCTTTTAGGGATTTTGATTTAACGCATCTGAATCCATGTGAAAGCGCTTTTTGCTCTTTCTTCTGCTTATAAATCTCGACGAAATACGTTCACGACGAAATATCAAGCCTCATTGAACAAGTTGCCAGGGCACAATAAAATTTAACTGTTTTATAAAGGGAATCTCTGCGGTGCACACAAAATTACCTACGTGGAATTTTATAACGAGTGGTATAAGAGAGTTTATTCTCATAATTGATTTTTTGAAGAAATTGGCTTACTTCCCAATTTTGTCTTAAAAAATGGAGCTTCCCTTAGCTACTTTATAAGCAACAACAATCTAACACAACGACAAATGCTGTAATTTATATAATATAAGTGAGGCAGCAGGGACCATCAGCCTGGTGTCCGCAACAGTAAAGATCTAGGATTGAAAAGTAGTTAAGGAATTAATTATTAGAAAATTGAGAAATTAGGCTACTTGATAATGGCACTCAAATGCGCCTGCCCATCCCTGTGTGCGAGCGTTAGTAACACCTTAATTCAAGAAACCTTGCGAATTTTTTCAAACCTCCGCGCTATGTTGCCTTATCATTTTTGAATGTCATATTGCTGTTACAACCAGAATCTCGCTTTAGTGTAATGATGACCGCTACCAAGGATCTCGCCTAGCAAATGAGATGAAAAACTACAATTTTTGACGAAAATTCGTGAATGAAATGGTTTGAAAAATCGAATGAGATAAATAAATAGTTTCTCGTTCAAGCAGCTTTCAAAAACCTACAAACTCTGCAAAAAAGGAAATCCGTTTCCTTGCAAACTTTCCGAAATCAACCGTTCATTGATCCTCGCCTTTTTGAGCCCCGATGTTGTGCAGTTTTGCGCGTTCTTGTACCACAAAAGAATGTAAACTAAGAGTCTCGTAGCTTACCCACAGATATTTTACAAGATTTTTAGCCGATTCACCTCTTCTGCACACTTTTCTCGTCACTTTAACTTATGACCAGAGGTGCGATGGGGGGAGCCGAGCCCGCCAAAATTGAAGGTGGTCCCAGCTACCACTGGCCGGCCAAAAGTGAAGGTGGCAGTGCCGGACACTCACCTCCCAAAAACGTCGAGGGGGAGGGAGAGCGTCAAGTCGACTGGGCCTATCCTTTCAGGTCGTTGCCGCCAGTTCGCGGAAAATAAGCAAAACAAACGCAAAAAGATTGTTGAAAGCATATTTTTATGTATACGGCCGCATATAGTATATTTAAAATAAACGTGTTTAGTAAATGGTGTGTTTTGAAGTGGAACTCGGTAAAGCAACACATTTTATTAAGTTAATTTTGTTATAACGTACTGCGAAGGAAATAGGTCGATCCAGGCAGTAACCGCCGTGAACCAGAATTATGAATGATAAAATAACGAGAAATTATGCGAAATTTCCACTTGTATAAATCTTGCGATTGAGGATGTCAGCAATTGCGACTTCATAGGTTTTGAATACTAAATGGGGCTCTATCAGATAGTGAAAAAATCAAGTCGATTTGAGAGATAGTCGCCGAAAACCAGAATTTTAAAAAATTACGCCATTTTAGCATGTTTAATGACAGCTGACAGATAAATTCATATTCTTGAATGCGAAAGTGTGTGATGTTGCGACTTCATGGGCTTTGAGGTTTGCCTTATCAGAATACATCTTAACCGTACCGATTCAATGAAACAGTGCCGAGATCCAGGGTCTTGAAAAAGCAGGTAAAAAAGCGTTTCTTGAACTTCAACAGCTCATAACTTCTTCAGAACTGCATAAATCATGTTGCGACTTCATAAATTGGATTTTCCTCTTCAAGAGCTTTCAGATGATGTATAATATTTAGGGGTTTCGCGTTTGTCACGGCATATGCCCCGAAGGAGGGGAGAGGAGTTTTCACCACAAAGTCTCCCCCTCCCCTCCCCCCCCCCCCCTCCCCTCCAGCCCACTTTGATGTATTGGATGGAGGCCGCCGGGGGAGAATCTGTAATGAAAAGTCCCCCCCCCCCGGGCATGAGTCGTAGGAGGCCCTAAACCCCCACATATTATATATCATCTGAAAGCTCTTGATGAGTAGAAGTTAGTAGATTGAAGTGACCGTAGCACTCAACCAAGCAGTCTTCTGACTGTTCAACTGGCTGTTGAAGTATGGGAAGATGACATGAGTTCAGCTTACAAAGTTCTTTCGAGGGGATCAGCTCAGCTAAACGGAGCTGAATGGGAGTTACTACGAGCCTCTACTCAAAAAATCTCTGACAGAACTTTGGGAACAGCCAAATGTTGCTCAAAACCCGAGTCAATTGTTTATAAAGGACTCCTCACTTAAGCAAAATGTCTCACTCATCAGCTTCTGAACCTATGCACTTCATAAAGCACATGTCCAACCCACCTCTCTTTCTCTTCGCCGGCAACTGGTCCCGGTCCGAAGGCCGGCAAAAATTCGCCGCGTACCACGTTGGCGGTTCCTCCGGGGACGGTACCTGTGCAGCTGAAGTCGGTGCTGGAACCGGCGTTCCCGCCGCTACCGCCGCCGACCCCACCGCCGCTGCTGATTGTGACAGAAGTGGCCATAGTACCGAGCACAGCAGCGGAGAGTTCGATCGCTGAACTGTGTCCGCTTGAGCTTGCGTGTCTCACGGGCTACATTTGCTCAGTTATCAGGAAAGAATTCAAAATAAGAACTGTGTAGGATACAGAAAGCTAAGCAGGAGCTCATAACGTCTACACAATACTATAACCGTTACCCAAATTCCCCCAAAAGACTAACCCAACGGTACCGAGTTGTGGGTGGCGTTCCCATTCTGTGGCGACGTCGTCTCTGTCGACGTTGAAGCCAATCCTGGCGACGTCGACGATAAATTGACAGCGTTGCCGCAAAACCTGCAATGGTGCAGAAGCCAATCGATATGTCGATTTTTTGGAAGTTACAGTGAGGTGGCCCATTTCCCAGCATACAGTGAGGTGGCCCATTTCCCAGCATACAGTGAGGTGGCCCATTTTCTGCGGAGTAGAGATTTTTTGTAAAAATTGGAGTAACTTACCTGGCATCAAAAACGACATATCAGGACCACTCAGGGCATATGGTGAAACAGGAGGTGGACCGATTTGTTGTATGGCGGCCAAGTTAAAGGACGTTTGATCTTTCGAGAACTCCTCAAAACAAGCTCATCTGTAGGAAACTGAACGATGGGTAGTGAAAAATTGCCCTAAGTATCAAGAAAACTCACTGTCAACGCTCGTTGTAACCGCCTGACATGCAACGTTTTTGAAAGCATTCCTACAAGTGACATAATTTCCAAAAATTCTCCTTCATCACATTGCATAATTTGATTGATGTCATCTCCTCCTAAAAAAAGTATTTTTTTTCTGAATCAGCAAACTCTAAGCTCCCCTCTCCTTGTGATATAAACATATCGTAGTACTGTACAAGATTTGCTCGTTTTAACACAGCCAATAATTGCCATTCGGATATCGAAGTAGGTGGAGCCAATGGCTTCGGTGTGCTGTAAAAACTGAACAACGTGCATTAAGCTGTGACCCAGCTCTCAACAGAGTTTTTCACATTGTTTTTTTATGGTCCGAGAGTACAAGGGATACGATAACCTTCGCGCGGAGTTTTTGTCGCGACCTCAGCGCGATTTTTTCTTGATTTGACGCATGAGGAAAAAAGCGAATTGCGTCAGTAAAAGAAACGCCGTTGACAGAAAAGGTCGATAGCGGTCAGTCAGAGCTGATGATAGTGGAGTAAATAAAAAAAAAATGATTATGGGATTTTTGAACGTAAGCTTTGACAATTTATAAAACATGTCTGCTTATCATCTAAGCAGGCAAAAAGTCGTGCAAATCAAAAATAACAATGTAAGAAATCAAACCTGTTTTTCCAACTTTGGTTGAAAAAGCTAGTCTTTTATGTAGATCTATCAAACACCATAGATAAAAAAAAACACACCTACACGGAAAAAGATGACAAATTAGAAGAAGATAAAAATTTGTCAACCGAAATTTTTGCGTGTTTCCAATCCTAAGAAGAATACGCAAGAGAAATGCTTACAGATTCACTACAGTACCGTTATAGTACCACTACAGCATTGATACAGTAGCAAGATCACATTGTAAAGTGCAGAATCCTCACCTAGCTCTGGAAGATTTTCGACTTTTAATTGTGGCGACTCCATTTTTACCGTATTCTTAGTAGTAGTTAGTTGTAGTTGAGATGATGAGGAGCTAGATGGTAATGCTGGAAAAATCGATTAATCGATTTTCATGTGATTAAGCATAAAATAGAAGCAATTTATAAAATCGTCTTATTATAGGCTGGAAAATTTTTCTAGGCAAAGGGTTTTTGCTTATCTCATCATTAGCTCCATTTGCTATACAATGGCGGTCCAAAAAATTTTTCAGAGGGAGGGGGGAATTATTTTTGGTGGATTAGCTACGCACTAACAAGGGAATGGTCAGAAGTCGAAGTGGCCAATCCATACAGGCCGCATACTATTGGATGCAGCTTAAAATGCTGATTTCAAATTTGTCTTCCATATCTGCAGAACGCCTTTGTAAGCGAAGTTATGACCAGCTTTAGTGCGAAAAAATCGCACACAAAAATTGCGAGATTAGGCACATTATTGCACTTTTCGCTCATTTTTAGGTACTGGCCATATGGAGTGACCTAGCTGCATGTTTCGGTCTAGCACTGAGCCGGGTATGGCTCTGTACGGCCGAGTTTGCCCTTTATACACACAATTTCTCAGCAAAATAATGGCTTTCAACGGCTTATAATTTCGTCCACAAAAGCGCTCTGCAGATAAGGAAGGCAGACATAGACTCAGCGTTTTATGCTGTATCTAATGGTATGCAGCTTGTATGGATTGGCCACTTCGATTTCTGACCATTCCCTTGTAAGAAAAAGTGTTTAGGATGCTTTTCAAAACCTTTGGCCTCGGAAGAACTTTTTTTTGCAAAAGTAATTTGAACCTTCACAAGAATGAATTATAAGTATTAACGATCAAAAATAAGCCATTTTTGCTAAAACATATCAAGTAACTTCCAAAATTTTCGCCACTTTTGCTCTTTATTGTTAAATTTGAAAACATCTGATGAAATCAGTCATCTATGTTTTGTTCTTACACTCATCTATAAAGTGCCCTATGTGACAGAAGATTTGTACATAGAAAGTAAGGCATTTATGACTTGGAATCGGAAAGGCAACACCACATGTGATCGAGAATAAAAAATTAGCCGTATGATTATGAGTTAGTAGGCTGGTGTGAGTAGCCATGTTGTGATTTGGACTCGATTTCAACCTGTTGAGGAGAAATTGAGGTATGCGCGTATTCCTTCAGGTTCACTTAAATCGAACTCTGATGATTTGTAGATAGATGATTAGATTGGTGATGTAGATTTGTTTTGTTTTTATAGTCGATTTGTTTCTTAGGCCTATAAATTTCCATCTTATTTGTTTGTATTTTTTGCTTTCAGTGCGAAAGCTTGCCATTTTGTAAGACTGATAATAGTTTTTTATAGTTCATCTGTCTTCACGCCTGTTATTTCCTTTGCACTTGCGTGGGAAGGATACTTGGTGACCGTGGCCATTCGCTTCGTAATGATTTGTATATTAAAAAATGTGCCTTCCGATGTTGATTCGAACATTGTCTTCCATACCTCGAAATGATAAACCTAGATGGAGTTATGATTTTGTTCCATGAATTGCGTGGTTGCAAGGTCAAACGCTTTAAGCGGTAACCTAGAACTAATGTGGTTTTGAGTACCCGAATTTGCGCAAATCTATGAAAGATTTAGACTTCTCAGAAGAATCATTTCGCAGACATCAAGCACCGTAGAATCAGCGTTTCGAGGTGCATCCTACGGTATACACCGCATTCATGGTCACGGTACCGAGTATACTTTCCTTATCAAAAAGAACGGAAGCGAATTTTTGCATCATTTGCATTGGAAAACTGCTACACTACATTATACTTTGGATCGAATCGAATTATTATTCGAGTATTCGAATAAAGTATTCGGATAAAATTTATTCGAAATTTGATGGTTGAAAACTTTGAGATCTCCGATATATTCGCTTATTCGAAACTTCTCATTTTCCAATTTACTCGAACATTTGGTTATTCGAATTTCTTAATTTTATTTTCTTTTTCGATTATATTCAAACATTCGAGTAATAATTTTCAATAGTTATTCGATTATTCGACGATTACGTGTAATGGAATAACTGTATGACTCTAGTTGCTTGTGTCCCTCGCGTTCGCGCCCTTTCCCTGCATTCACCCACCATTCCATTGCAAGTCGGTCTCGCCAAGACCACGTTTTGGTATGGATGCAATTTTAGGTTGAATGCGATTACGAAATCAATCAATTTAATGATTTTATTGGAAAAAAGCCTCTGAAGGGAATAAATACTCGGTTACGGGATATAAAAGCATGCGAGCCTTTCGTTAAGTTTTTGCTTCTCAAAATGTCTCTAAATGTTGAAAGAGAGCCTGAGCACAACAATGCTAGGAACACTGTTTGGATTGGAAGTTGGGAAGCTAGAATTTGTGTACAATTGTAATGAGCATGCTGCTGGGGAACCGGCTGTTGTGAGGCGATAGGCGAGAACTAATTACATTGACTATTTTACTGGTATTGATAATTAGCAAATTTGATCGAAGGCGAGTGTTAATGTAGTGAATGAGCATTTCGCCTCCACTGATTTTGCGCTTAACAGTAGGGACGGCAATCCGGTGTTCAGAGCGGGTCAGACTGGTGATTTTTATAGTTTCCGGATGTATAGCACGTGCAGGACCGGATCTGCCATCAACTGATTGTGAGTAATATGCGTCATATTTCTGATTTCTATCGCAACAAATATTGTTTGTTTTCAAAGTTGCATACTACGTGGATCCTTACTTATGCTATTCGACCAAATTTCTATCTTAATATTCGACATAGCCAATACGTAGTACTCGTTTATTCGGATTTTTTCACGAGTATATATATTCAAGAATTTGTTTCGAAATACCCAATGTTCGATTATTCGAAATTATTTATCTCGAAAATTTCGATGTTCAATTATTCAACATTTTTATTGTGGAAAACATTCGATATTTTCAATTTTTGAGTATGTTTGATTATTCGATTATTCGAGAAAAACCATCAATTCAAAAAACATTCCAAAGTGTCTACATGGTACCTGGGCTACCTCTGTGAGCTAGTCAGCCCAAACATGTTTAGAACAAAGCGCCCCCATTGTTCTACGGTGGAAATTTCACTTTAAATAATCTCAAAAGGTTTGAAAGAATGAAATTGTTAAGACACATCCACTGTCAGGGTGGCGCCTGAGCAAATGTTTTGTTGGGACATAAAAACGATCTAGGTTTGAACCATTTTCATGGAAACTAAGAGGTTCAGTCTACTGAATGACATATACAGTGCTGGCCAAAACTAGTCCACCCTGGAAACTGCCGTAGCTCATCTTCTCAACGAATTGATCTGAAATTTGGTACAGTTCTGTGTTTAACAGGCTGCCATCAGAGTAGAACGGGTCCCGTTTTTGTTTGATCAATCAGGAAAAAATCAAAAATTTCGAAAAAAAGCAGGCTTGAAGGTTGGCCAAAACTATAATTCCACCTAAGGTTTTTGTCCACTAAAGTAATTCTCGGCTTCCAAAGTCTTTTGTGCATATACATAATCAAAAGTCAAAACTGTTGCTTTAGTCCAGCTGTGTCATACCTTTATAAGAAACCTTTATCTGCTTTTTTCGCTTAAAAATACTTTCATGCGTATTTTGCTCCCGAAAATGTGTTTTTATAGGTGATTTAACAGTAGTTGGCTTGTCCTCTTTTGTTGAGACCTCGGCATCGTGAAGTATGTGATACTGTTTTCTTATGCCATACGAGGTTTTGTGAAGCTCTTTATTACGGCCTTACGTTTCGACTTATCGTCGTCCTCAGAGGCCTAAAGTGGTGCGAGATTTTGACCTTGTGCTTTACTCCACCAAATGCCTTATCGACCTCAAACTAGTTTCGAACCCCCCACCCGTAGAAAGTGAAAGACGAACTAACCCTTGCTTCGCTTCACCGTTGGAGCACTGATGGTATTGTGCAACCACGTCCTTTGGTGTCAGTAGTGCCAATAAGCCATTTTAGGAAGCTTAGGGTCGGTGTAATCACTACTGATTTATAGCTCACATAGCGGTGTAAACGGTAAGAAGTCATTCGTGATCGTCGAACATTCTTTTCTGTTGTTCATCGATGGGTTTCTCTGTGAGATCCAGAATGTTTCGAGAGTTTTTCACGCAGATGTGTTAGTCTCGCAAGCCAAAATCGTGCACTTGATCTCATAGTTTGCATCACCATGTTGTTCATGCCTATGTTTCCCGAGTGGTGAGATTAGACCGCCACGTCGTTTATCTGCTAGATGTTCTTTAAGTCTAACACTTAGCGGTCTTCCAGTCTTTCCAATGTAGGACGCGCCGCATGTTATACAGTCTATCTGGTAAATTACTCCAACTTTCGCGCAGTCGCCAAAATCGCAGTCGCCATACGGACAAACTCTGCATTCTTTTGTAATGCAAAATTTGTCATAAAGTCTATACCAAAATGATATCGTTGCTCAAATGTGCTCGCTCAATGCTTCGCCGTATAGCAACACTTACTCGATCAGAGATGAAAGGTAAACAGAGAGGAATTTTGTTGTTGCGTTGAAGCATCTCATGCGAGGTACCTGGCCTACGCACGTTATGCATCGAGAGTACCATTCCCTCTAGCGATGTCCAGCGCCAAATCTCGTGATTCCTTCCGTTCCTTTTCTCCCGTGCGAACCTGTGTTGCAGTCTTGAACATATTGTGGATAACACCACGTTTGACGGCTGAAGGATGAGCAGAGCGGGCGTGCAACAAGATTTTTCGAGCTTGATTTACGATACCATTTTACAATTGCGTGAGATCTGGACATCTTAAATTGCACGTTCAAATATGGGAGCCACCCGTCAATCGGCTTTCTCGTGTAAATCTTATGTACTCTGACTGTTGATTCAATAAACGGAAACACTCGTCCATTTCGGACTGTGTGGGTGTTATGATACAACAGTCGTCGATATAGCGACAGTACATAAGTGGTAGCCTCAACAGCACCGGGTTCTCGATTATACTCATAAAGCAGACCGCTGGCACTGGCGCAAGTCTTTGTCCCATTGCGAGACCTCTTAGCTGAGTATAGTAAGACCCTGACCGTTTGAAAATGTTACAGTCCAAGCACTCCTTGATCAGAATCATGATGTTACTTTTACTCAAGCCGAAGGTTTGAATGTCTTTACCAAACTTATCCAACATTTCGGATAACGCTTGTAAGGCGTCGTCATTTTGAACATTGGTATACAGAGATACCACATCAAATGACTCAGCCACACACTCGTCGTTGAACTTAGCGTTGTGTAAGCGCTCAAGGAAATAGTTGGTGTTTGATAAATGGGACGGTACCTTGGTCAGTAGCTGACAAACAATCTTGTTCAAGAACCAAGATATTCTATCGGTTGGCCCCCCAACACAGCTTATAATTGGTCGTATTTCAAACTGTTCGGCTGTCATCAATCGCGTATCATCATCAAGAGAAAGCTTGTGTGTTTTGATAAGACTATAGAAGACTGGGCAACTTGGTGTTTCTAACTTTAATCTGCTCAAAAAACTCTCGTTGAGACCAGCTAACTTCCCAGTAGTAATCCAAACGTGATTGAGTCGTTTGTACTCTGCCACATACTCTTTTTCTGTGACGTTTGGTAAAGCGAAACGTGGCTCAGGTGAAGCTGCATGATTTTGCGATCTATATCTTGTGGTAAGATCACGAACTCCCCTCCCTTATCACTCACAGAGATGCGTACAGTATTGCTGACAACCAATTCACGTAGTTTTTTATAACCAAGCCATTGCTGATTAGTCAAGTTCGTGCGATGTAGCCGTTTTGAACGTGTGTATGCGGCTAAAACATCCGATGATACGTAGCAGGGTGTTGAGCAACACGACCAAGATGGCAATTTCTCTTTATTAACTTCGGCCAACGTTTCGGCGCAATCGCCTTCGTCAGAGCCTAGAAAGTCGAATACATAAGGATCTCTTCCCTCAGATGTCAATGAAGAAGCAAGACAATTCAGTTGAAAGCCAGTACGAAGGAAAGAACCAGAGCCACGGCAAAGCAATACTCACCTTAATCGTTGCATAGGGGGTACGAGGGACCACCAACTATGCAATAACTATACCTCTGCCCTATTTATAGTAATGAGGTGACCTGACCTAGCCTCAGAAACCGCAAAGGGCCTGATATGGCGCGAGTTCGTTAGTTATTGCAATACACTCCTCCTTTCGGTTCATTTTTGGATTTTTAGCGCTGATCCAAAACGCTTCCAAAGTCTTGCGCGATAGGACTTCGGGTTCGTAGGACAAAATCGAGGCTCCAATTTGTATTTCAGCAAAAACTATTTCATTTATTTCATTTTCACTTATTTCACACAAATTGGAGCCTCGATTTTGTCCTACGAACCCGAAGTCCTATCGCGCAAGACTTTGGAAGCGTTTTGGATCAGCGCTAAAAATCCAAAAATGAACCGAAAGGAGGAGTGTATTGCAATAACTAACGAACTCGCGCCATATCAGGCCCTTTGCGGTTTCTGAGGCTAGGTCAGGTCACCTCATTACTATAAATAGGGCAGAGGTATAGTTATTGCATAGTTGGTGGTCCCTCGTACCCCCTATGCAACGATTGAGGTGAGTATTGCTTTGCCGTGGCTCTGGTTCTTTCCTTCGTACTGGCTTTCAACTGAATTGTCTTGCTTCTTCATTGACATCTGAGGGAAGAGATCCTTATGTATTCGACTTTCTAGGCTCTGACGAAGGCGATTGCGCCGAAACGTTGGCCGAAGTTAATAAAGAGAAATTGCCATCTTGGTCGTGTTGCTCAACACCCTGCTACGGTTCATATCTATGCCAAGATTAAAGAACAGTCGGAGTTGGAAGACATCCGATGATAACTTTTTAAACTTGACATCTGCCTCAGGTATAGGAGGCGGCTTTTTACAAAATAGGCTTGGAAATGGTGGAGGTGGAAGAAGCTGGCTCTGTGGCATTCTGATCTCGTTTGCTGTGTTATGCTTGGCCTTCATTCTCTATTGATCTCCAAGTCTCTGAAGTCCAGCAACTACATTGCGGAAAACCGACCCATTAACATTCTGAGCAATAGAAAACGAAAGTCCCAAGCTGAGAAACTCATACGCGTTATCAGAAAGTTGAACATTACCGATCACCGTGACCTTAGACATTCCATTCAGACATTCATTCTGAGCTACACCATTGTCGAAGCGGTCTTGCTTGGGTAAGTTGCTTCCAGCATTCACTTGAGTTTTGAAAGTGGCACCAAGGATTTTGTCGTACTTAGCACAGAGAGAGGACTTGGCGTTAGATCGAACAGAGGCACAGATCGATCTCGAGCCTTGCTCAATCCTCCTCCAAGTCGGATAAGGTAAAAGACGTTGACATGCCTGCTCTTTGGTATTACATTTCAATAAGCAAGAATACAATGTACGTCGTTTTTCTTCGATAATCACTCCCAAAATCGTGCTATAGATCTTCTTAATTTTTGGATGGTCTTCGGGGACATTGCACATTGCTCCCAACTTCTTGCTTGAAAGAAACCGTGGGACGATGTCATTCGTCTTGCACCGCTTCAAGAACTTGATCGTTTAACGAGTCGCAACCACCTTTTGGCGAAGCGATAAAGCTTCCCGTACAAGAGGATCTAGCTGAGGTGGCACGTTTGTTAGTAGTTGGCTTGTCCTCTTTTGTTGAAACCTCGGCATCGTGAAGTATGTGATACTGGTTTCTTATGCCATACGAGGTTTGGTGATGCTCTTTTCGACTTATCGCCGTCTTCAGAAGCCTAAAGTTATGCGAGATTTTGACCTTGTGCTCTACTCCACTAAATGCCTTATCGACCTCAAGCTAGTTTCGAACCGCCCACTGATTTCACTAACAATACTCATAGAAAGTGAAAGACGAACTAACCCTTGCTTCGCTTCACCGTTGGAGCACTGATGGTATTGTGCAACCACGTCCTTTGGTGTCAATAGTGCCAATAAGCCATTTTAGGAAGCTTATGGGTCGGCGTAATCACTACTGATTTATAGTCACATAGCGGTATAAACGGTAAGAAGTCATTCGTGATCGTTAAACATTCCTTTCTGTTGTTCATCGATGGGTTTCTCTGTGAGATCCAGAATGCTTCGAGAGTTTTTCGCGCAGATGTGTTAGTCTCGCAAGCCAAAATCGTGCACTTGATCTTATAGTTTGCATCACCATGTTGTTCATGCCTAGTTTCCCGAGTTTAGATCGCCACGTCGTTTTTTTCGTTTTTTTTTTCGTCGTTAGTTAGAAACACCAAGTTGCCCAGTCTTCTATAGTCTTATCAAAACACATGAGCTTTATCTTGATGATGATATGCGATTGATGACAGCCGAACAGTTTGAAATACGACCAATTATAAGCTGTGTTGGGGGGCCAACCGATAGAATATCTTGGTTCTTGAACAAGATTGTTTGTCAGCTACTGACCAAGGTACCGTCCCATTTATCAAACACCAACTATTTCCTTGAGCGCTTACACAACGCTAAGTTCAACGACGAGTGTGTGGCTGAGTCATTTGATGTGGTATCTCTGTATACCAATGTTCAAAATGACGACGCCTTACAAGCGTTATCCGAAATGTTGGATAAGTTTGGTAAAGACATTCAAACCTTCGGCTTGAGTAAAAGTAACATCATGATTCTGATCAAGGAGTGCTTGGACTGTAACATTTTCAAACGGTCAGGGTCTTACTATACTCAGCTAAGAGGTCTCGCAATGGGACAAAGACTTGCGCCAGTGCCAGCGGTCTGCTTTATGAGTATAATCGAGAACCCGGTGCTGTTGAGGCTACCACTTATGTACTGTCGCTATATCGACGACTGTTGTATCATAACACCCACACAGTCCGAAATGGACGAGTGTTTCCGTTTATTGAATCAACAGTCAGAGTACATAAGATTTACACGAGAAAGCCGACTGACGGGTGGCTCCCATATTTGAACGTGCACTTTAAGATGTCCGGATCTCACGCAATTGTAAAATGGTATCGTAAATCAAGCTCGAAAAACATCTTGTTGCACGCCCGCTCTGCTCATCCTTCAGCCGTCAAACGTGGTGTTATCCACAATATGTTCAAGACTGCAACACAGGTTTGCACGGGAGAAAAGGAACGGAAGGAATCACGAGATTTGGCGCTGGACATCGCTAGAGGGAATGGTATCGATGCACAACGTACGTAGGCCAGGTACCTCGCATGAGATGCTTCAAAGCAACAACAAAATTCCTCTCTGTTTACCTTTCATCTCTGATCGAGTAAGTGTTGCTATAAGGCGAAGCATTGCGAGCACATTTGAGCAACGATATCATTTTGGTAGACATACCAAGCGCGAACATCAAGAAAAAGCTTGCACGCAATAGACTTTATGACAAATTTTGCATAACAAAAAAATGCAGAGTTTGTCCGTATGGCAATGTTGGCGACTGCGCGAAAGTTGGAGTAATTTACCAGATAGACTGTATAACATGCGGCGCGTCCTACATTGGAGAGACTGGAAGACCGCTAAGTGTTAGACTTAAAGAACATCTAGCCGATAAAACGTGGCGGTCTAAACTCACCACTCGGGAAACATAGGCATGAACAACATGGTGATGCAAACTATGAGATCAAGTGCACGATTTTGGCTTGCGAGACCAACACATCTGCGCGAAAAACTCTCGAAGCATTCTGGATCTCACAGAGAAACCCATCGATGAACAACAGAAAGGAATGTTTAACGATCACGAATGACTTCTTACCGTTTATACCGCTATGTGAGCTATAAATCAGTAGTGATTACACCGACCCTAAGCTTCCTAAAATGGCTTATTGGCCAAAGGACGTGGTTGCTCAATACCATCAGTGCTCCAACGGTGAAGCGAAGCAAGGGTTAGTTCGTCTTTCACTTTCTACGAGTACTGTTAGTGAAATCAGTGGGGGGTTCGAAACTAGCTTGAGGTCGATAAGGCATTTAGGGTGGAGTAGAGCGCAAGGTTAAAATCTCGCACCACTTTAGGCCTCTGAAGACGACGATAAGTCGAAACGTAAGGCCGCAGTAAAGAGCTTCACCAAACCTCGTATGGCATAAGAAAACAGTATCACATGATTTAACAGTCTTTTGACTGGTTTGGAAGCGATAGGGCTCCTTCTATCTTATAGATGCTTAGCGAAGAATTAGAAAATTTCAGTTTTCATATTTAAAGGGCACCCAACATAAACCTAAGCGCAGGCCTGCGCTCAAATTTATGCCTTCAAACTCTTTCTGCAGTGGCGTACCCAGGATTTCGGCTCGGGGTGGGCGCGACAAAAAATTTTTTCTAAAGAAGGTGCGTGGCGATAGCCACGCACTCCGAAAAATTTTTTGGGGTGCTTCTCAAAACTTTTGCGGGTCCCCGACCCCTAAAATCTGGAAAAAGGGGGCGTGGCGTTAGCCACGCCCCCGAAAAAAATTTTTTTACAAGGCTAACTTGATTTTTTAAAATTTTTTAAAAATTATTTTAATTATTTACAAAAATAAACAAGTCACTTGCACATTTTTATAACTCATATAAGTAACTTTCAGAAATTTCGCGACCCATTCTCGGGGGGGGGGGGGCGCGCCCCCCCCCGCCCCCCCCCCCCTTCCCCTCGGTACGCCACTGTCTTTCTGCAATGTTCTCATGAGCTTAAAGTAGAGTAATAACGTTGTTGTACGTATAAGAGTCCGGATGAGTGGTTGCAGATTTCCGCAGGTCCTAGCATGCAGGCTAATTGAGGAATTCAACCTGCAAAAACTGATTTGCAAAAAGCCTTGAACTTATTTTTGGTTCTGACCGTAATGCTCACGTGAATCACAAGGCAACATACAATACAGGGTGTTTTCACTATCTAGCAGCTAGATAGTGGCAAAAAACAGGAGAGGTACCTCTTGGTAAGTATTTTGGGATTGCCTAAATATTATCATAGAACCGCGAAGATTTATGCTTTGAAAACTAAGCAAAATGTGATCTGGTGAACAATCGTGAGTGTAGTGTACAAACATCTTTATATGTAAATAATGCTTCTACATCATTTTGAGCTTACAAAAATAACATAAACCAATTTTGAAGGCAAAAATGTGAGCGCAGGCTTGCTTTTAGGTCTATGTCGGGTGCCCTTCAAATATGAAGCCTCAAATTTTTTTTTTACTTCTCACCTCGCTAAGCACCTATATGATAGAATGGAGCCCTGTCGTTTCCAAACCAGTCAAAAAAAAACTGCAAAATCACCCATAAAGCACATTCTCAGGTGTAAATACTCATGAAAGTATATTTGAGCGAAAAAAGCAGATAAACGTTTCTTATAAAGGTATGACACAGCGGCTAAAGCGACAGTTTTGACTTTTGATTATGTATATGCACGAAAGACTTTGGAAGCCGAGAATTACATTAGTGGACAAAAACCTTAGGTGGAAGCATAGTTTTGGCCAATCTTAAAGCCTACTTTTTTCGAAATTTTTGATTTCCTGAATAATCAAACAAAAACGGGACATCTTTCATTCACTGAGCAGCCTGTTAAACACACAACTGTACCAAATTTCAGATCAATTAGTTGAGATACAGGTGAGCTACGGCAGTTTTCAGGGTGGACGTATAGTTTTGGCCAGCACTGTATCGTCCTCAAAAGCTTTACTGCGGTCAAATTCGTAGGGTGTAGACCCGAACTTCCCAAAAATGAAGGTTAATAGTTTTCACGGTAGTAATCAAAGTCCGATTCAACTTCATTCTTTAGAGTAATAAATAGTTACTGAGGCCCAACCCATCAAGGTAAGAGTGCAGTGAGACCTTGGCTGAGCTTCTAATTCATTGTTCAGTGATTATTCGGAGTAGATCCCACATGAGCCAAGGGGTAGTGTTTTGTAGAAATTTAAAAATGGCGCTTAACCAAACTTTTTTTTGCTTCAGCTGACTTAGTTGAAGTGGCCGCTCGAGCTCTGCTGCCCGCTCAGGCCCTAGGCCTCAAGCTTCGCTTCTACGATCGATTTGGGCCCTCTAGCGATGTCCAGCGCCAAATCTCGTGATTCCTTCCGTTCCTTTTCTCCCGTGCAAACCTGTGTTGCAGTCTTGAACATATTGTGGATAACACCACGTTTGACGGCTGAAGGATGAGCAGAGCGGGCGTGCAACAAGATGTTTTTCGAGCTTGATTTACGATACCATTTTACAATTGCGTGAGATCCGGACATCTTAAAGTGCACGTTCAAATATGGGAGCCACCCGTCAGTCGGCTTTCTCGTGTAAATCTTATGTACTCTGACTGTTGATTCAATAAACGGAAACACTCGTCCATTTCGGACTGTGTGGGTGTTATGATACAACAGTCGTCGATATAGCGACAGTACATAAGTGGTAGCCTCAACAGCACCGGGTTCTCGATTATACTCATAAAGCAGACCGCTGGCACTGGCGCAAGTCTTTGTCCCATTGCGAGACCTCTTAGCTGAGTATAGTAAGACCCTGACCGTTTGAAAATGTTACAGTCCAAGCACTCCTTGATCAGAATCATGATGTTACTTTTACTCAAGCCGAAGGTTTGAATGTCTTTACCAAACTTATCCAACATTTCGGATAACGCTTGTAAGGCGTCGTCATTTTGAACATTGGTATACAGAGATACCACATCAAATGACTCAGCCACACACTCGTCGTTGAACTTAGCGTTGTGTAAGCGCTCAAGGAAATAGTTGGTGTTTGATAAATGGGACGGTACCTTGGTCAGTAGCTGACAAACAATCTTGTTCAAGAACCAAGATATTCTATCGGTTGGCCCCCCAACACAGCTTATAATTGGTCGTATTTCAAACTGTTCGGCTGTCATCAATCGCATATCATCATCAAGATAAAGCTCATGTGTTTTGATAAGACTATAGAAGACTGGGCAACTTGGTGTTTCTAACTAACGACGAAAAAAAAAACGAAAAAAACGACGTGGCGATCTAAACTCGGGAAACTAGGCATGAACAACATGGTGATGCAAACTATAAGATCAAGTGCACGATTTTGGCTTGCGAGACTAACACATCTGCGCGAAAAACTCTCGAAGCATTCTGGATCTCACAGAGAAACCCATCGATGAACAACAGAAAGGAATGTTTAACGATCACGAATGACTTCTTACCGTTTATACCGCTATGTGACTATAAATCAGTAGTGATTACGCCGACCCATAAGCTTCCTAAAATGGCTTATTGGCACTATTGACACCAAAGGACGTGGTTGCACAATACCATCAGTGCTCCAACGGTGAAGCGAAGCAAGGGTTAGTTCGTCTTTCACTTTCTATGAGTATTGTTAGTGAAATCAGTGGGCGGTTCGAAACTAGCTTGAGGTCGATAAGGCATTTAGTGGAGTAGAGCACAAGGTCAAAATCTCGCATAACTTTAGGCTTCTGAAGACGGCGATAAGTCGAAAAGAGCATCACCAAACCTCGTATGGCATAAGAAACCAGTATCACATACTTCACGATGCCGAGGTTTCAACAAAAGAGGACAAGCCAACTACTAACAAACGTGCCACCTCAGCTAGATCCTCTTGTACGGGAAGCTTTATCGCTTCGCCAAAAGGTGGTTGCGACTCGTTAAACGATCAAGTTCTTGAAGCGGTGCAAGACGAATGACATCGTCCCACGGTTTCTTTCAAGCAAGAAGTTGGGAGCAATGTGCAATGTCCCCGAAGACCATCCAAAAATTAAGAAGATCTATAGCACGATTTTGGGAGTGATTATCGAAGAAAAACGACGTACATTGTATTCTTGCTTATTGAAATGTAATACCAAAGAGCAGGCATGTCAACGTCTTTTACCTTATCCGACTTGGAGGAGGATTGAGCAAGGCTCGAGATCGATCTGTGCCTCTGTTCGATCTAACGCCAAGTCCTCTCTCTGTGCTAAGTACGACAAAATCCTTGGTGCCACTTTCAAAACTCAAGTGAATGCTGGAAGCAACTTACCCAAGCAAGACCGCTTCGACAATGGTGTAGCTCAGAATGAATGTCTGAATGGAATGTCTAAGGTCACGGTGATCGGTAATGTTCAACTTTCTGATAACGCGTATGAGTTTCTCAGCTTGGGACTTTCGTTTTCTATTGCTCAGAATGTTAATGGGTCGGTTTTCCGCAATGTAGTTGCTGGACTTCAGAGACTTGGAGATCAATAGAGAATGAAGGCCAAGCATAACACAGCAAACGAGATCAGAATGCCACAGAGCCAGCTTCTTCCACCTCCACCATTTCCAAGCCTATTTTGTAAAAAGCCGCCTCCTATACCTGAGGCAGATGTCAAGTTTAAAAAGTTATCATCGGATGTCTTCCAACTC